CTTCTTTGCTGTGAGAGTGCCAGAGCCCTGGGCCAGGCTGCCCAGAGGGGCTGTGGAGTCTCCTTCTCTGGAGACATTCCAACCCCCCTGGCCACGTTCCTGTGTGATGTGCTCTGGGTGCCCCTGCTCTGGCAGGGGGGGTGGGCTGGGGGATCTTTCCAGGTCCCTTCCAACCCCTGGGATTCTGTGATGATTCTGTGACACAGCTCCTCACCAGGGACATCAGGACACCCTGAGCCTTCCCCATCATCATCCTCAGCTTTCAGCATCGTTTCCCTAAATTCAATGTGTTTTCCATGGTCATGCATGAAAAATCTCCCCCAGGCTGAGGCTGGCAGCTGCTTTCCTCTGCCCAAGTGCAGGGACACTGCTGTCCCCTCCAGCCAGGCCTGTGGCTCCCAGACAGTCCATCCCACTGAAGCCCCTCTTGGCTGGCAGGCCCAGTGATACAATCCTTTCCGGAGAAGCGTCGGCCCCAGTTCCTTCCAGGAAACCCATCCCTGCCCTCTCCCAAGTCACAGGCAGCATCACATCTCCTCCTTGCACACCAGCCAAGTTTCACTTGTCCCCAGGCAGCTCCATCCCACCGTCCCCCTCCACCCAGGCAGAGCAGAGGATGGAGCAGTGAGAGGGATGGAGCAGAGAGAGGGATGGAGCAGAGAGAGGGATGGAGCAGAGGAATTTCCTTCCCTGGGAATGGGCTCCCGGGGGCAGGTTCCAGGAAACCTCCCATTGCTATTGTTTGCTGTTCTTGAGGTTCACAGCAATAAATTCCCCCTCTTCCTCCTCCTCCTCCTGCTTTTTTGGACTTGATTTTTTTTTTTTTTTTTACCCACTTAGATAAACAAGCCCCGTTGACAAAGAGCTTTATAAATAGCCCAGGGTGCTCCAGGGGGTTCCACGAGGGGCTGAGCTCAGCTCGGCTGGCCCAAAGAGCCTCCCTGCTCCCACCACCCCGAGGGTGTAAAACTCTGGGTGATAACACGCTTATCTCGCCAAAACCACGCTGTGTAAACACACAAATCCTCCTCCACAAGCCTCTGGGCACACACTGCAGGGTTGGGAAGTCTGTAGGTCCCTCCTGAAGGGCTGTTCCCACCCCCTTCCAACTCCAACAGCTCTTTCCTCCCCGCAGTACAACACCATCCTGAGCGACATGGACAAAATCTACTCCACAGCCAAGGTCTGCCTTCCCAATGGAACCTGCTGGGACCTGGAGCCAGGTATGATGGTCCTTGTCCCTCTGAGCACCCTGTGGCCATGAGTTTCTCCTGGTCCCCACACCCCCCAGCAGGCTGGGCTTGGCAGATCCCACCCGTGCCCATCAAGCTGGTCCAGGATGGGTCTGGCGCGGTGGTGGTGGCACCTCTGCAGATCTACTGTAGGATGTGACCCTCTGTTTGGCTCAAACCAGGACATCCTCTCTCATCTCCTGCTTGTCCCCTCCTTCCCAGACCTCTCGGACATCATGGCCACCTCCCGCAGCTACAAGAAGCTGCTCTATGCCTGGGAGGGCTGGCACAACGCCGCGGGGAACCCGCTGCGCCCCAAGTACCGCGAGTTCGTGGAACTGAGCAACCAGGCCTACGAGAGGGACGGTAGGAGCAGGGCAGGGGGTGGCCACGGGTCAGGGGTGGGAATTGGGGCTGGGGCCAAGGGGTGCCCTGCTGCTCTCCCCATCCCACGTGCATCCAGGCACCCAACTTCCATCTCCTCGCTGCCGACGCTTTGGGGAAGGGGCAAGAAATCCCCCAGCTCTTGGGGCTGGGTGGGGGGACAGCACCTGAGAGGCAGAGCCAGGGGCTGATCACGGCCCCCCTGGCAGGATTTGAGGACACAGGCAGCTACTGGCGCTCCTGGTATGACACGGCCTCCTTCGAGGATGACCTGGAGCACCTCTACAACCAGCTGGAGCCCCTCTACCTCAACCTGCACGCCTTCGTCCGCAGGAAGCTCTACGACCACTACGGCCCCAAATACATCAACCTGAAGGGTCCCATCCCTGCTCACCTCCTGGGTAAGAGGAAGGAACCCCCCCAGCCTGTGCCCGAAGGTGCTGGTGGGGCCAGAGTGGCCCGTGCAGGGCCGTAGTGGGACAGGGAGGTCCCAGTTATCACTGTGTTTCTCCTCCTCCCAACCTACCACAACTCTGCTCCAGCTGTTTTCTCTTCTCAGGCAACATGTGGGCCCAGCAGTGGAACAACATCTATGACCTGATGGTTCCCTACCCCGAGAAGCCCAACCTTGATGTCACAAGCACCATGGTGCAGAAGGTGATGGGCTGATTGACTCACTGGTGGCATCAGGGGGGCAAAACCAAGGGGTGCTGGCCAAGGCTTGCCCACAGCAGTGTCCAGTGGGAGTGGTTCCTCATACCTGCCTAGGGGTCAGCAGAAAAGCCATGTCTGGGAGGGGAAGGGACAAAGACATTATCCCACTCCCTCTCCAGCAATGACCAAAGAGGCAGGGGGGTGGGCAAAGAGGAAGGACAGTGTGGTGGGACTGGCTGGGGGCTGTGCCCATACCATGACCCAGGTCTGAGTGCTCCTGGGCCATCATCTCTACTCGCTTCCCTGGTCCATGCTGGGAACCAGCACCACTGCTCCTTAGAGAAGCTCACACCAACTCTGTGGCCAGGGCTTCCCATCAGGGTGGGAGGGGAAGGACCCCAGTCCCTTGGGGGGACCCACCTCACCCCCATGGCCCTGGGAGAGCCCCTTCCTCATCAGTGACCCACTGCCTGCTGCCCACCAGGGCTGGAATGCCACGCACATGTTCCGGGTCTCGGAGGAGTTCTTCACCTCCCTGGGGCTGCTGGAGATGCCTCCTGAATTCTGGGACAAGTCCATGCTGGAGAAGCCAACAGATGGGAGGGAGGTGGTGTGTCATGCCTCAGCCTGGGACTTCTACAACCGCAAGGACTTCAGGTGTGTGTGGCTGTGCAAGGGCTACGGGGTAGGACCCTCCTCCATCCCCCCTTGGTGGGGGGTTTGTGTTACCCCAGCCTGGCCCATTCTGTCACCTCCTGGGGTACAGCCTTGGGGCACCACGCTGCCCCACCTCCCCCTCTGCTGGGTCTTCCCTCCACCCCACAGGGTGCTGCCACCCTCCTGGGGACTGCAGAGGGTCCTTCCCATGGAGGGGGTGCCCAGGCAGCCCAGGTCCCTGGCTCAGGTCAGGCTGTTCTCCCCCCCCCCAGGATCAAGCAGTGCACGACGGTGACCATGGAGCAGCTGTTCACCGTGCACCACGAGATGGGCCACATCCAGTACTACCTGCAGTACAAGGACCAGCCTGTGTCCTTCCGCAGTGGGGCCAACCCTGGCTTCCACGAGGCCATTGGAGATGTCATGTCCCTGTCTGTCTCCACCCCCAGCCACCTCCAGAAAATCGGTCTCCTCACCAACGCCACCGAGGACGCAGGTATGGCAGCCACCCTGAGGACAGGGCTGGCCTGGGGGGCTCAGACACTGCCTGGGACACCAGGAGGGGTTTTGGGACATTCCACAGTGGGCTGAGGTCTGGCAACACTACCCAGAGCAGGCAAAGCCCCATGGCTGGTGTGTGCTTTTCATCCAGCCTTGGTTCCATGCACAACCCCTTCTTGTTTCCATGGGTCCATGTACGGCCCTTCACGACTCCATCCTCTTCACCCCAAGGGATGGAGATGTGTCCTCCAGATTTTGTCTGTCCCCATGGGTCCATGCAGGGTCCTCCACAGCTCCATCCTCTTCACCCCCAAAGGTTGGAGGGGTGTAATCCAGGTCTTGTCTGTCCCCTTCCCTTCTCCATCAGAGCTCCAAATGTGAAAGCAGCATCTTGTGCTTGATCAGCTTTGACATTTCCAGCCTTTCCCTTCCCCTTGCCAAGGAACATCCAGCCCAGGAGCTCCTGGTGTGTCTCTGTGGAGGTGACACCAAGCCTGACATGCAGTCAGGAGGAGAGTCAGCAGGGGAGGTTTCTGCTTGCCAGCAGAGGAGGACACATCCCCACTGGGTACTGCCCAGCTTGGCAAGAGTCCCTTCCCCTGCCCAACATCTCTCAGCCCACACATCAGAGCAGACAGTGGCAGAGGGGACCAAGTGTGCACCGAGTCCTGCTGCAGGTGGCTCTTTGTGGAGGAGGGACCATCCCAGGTCCTCCTGCCTGCTCATTAAACACATTTCATGGCAGGAAACCCAGCTCTGCAGCCAAGAGTGTTGGGCTGATGGTGCATAAACACCACGGAGCAGATGGTCCCTGCCTGAAGGCATCCTGGCCAGCCCTTGGCAGCAGTGCCACCACAGCCACGGCAGCCAACAGCCCCTCAGGACAGTGCTGCCAACCCCTCTCTGACCACACAGCTTCAGCTGGGTCTCCAGCATATCCATCTCCAACCTTCCTTCCCTGGGTTTCCTCAAGGCAATGGGGAAAGCAGATGTCATCATTCTCTGTGCTCCTGATGAGGTGGTGGTGACTGTCCCAGAGCTGATGCCAAGTGTGGGTCTAACCCATCAGAGCCTTTGTGACATCCCTGCAGACTGAAGCCCCTTCACCCTGAGGCCCTAGAGTGAATGTGTGGAGAGGGACCCATAAGAGTTACCTTCACAGAATCCCAGGGGTTGGAAGGGACCTGGAAAGGTCCCCCTGCCAGAGCAGGGGCACCCAGAGCACATCACACAGGAACGTGGCCAGGGGGTTGGAATGTCTCCAGAGAAGGAGACTGCAAAGACTTCACCAAAGACCTTCTCACTCTGAGAGCCAGGCTGGGGGCAAAAGGACACTACCCTTGCAACTCCCTTTGTCCCCACTCAGTAAAAAGACACAGGTTGCCCCAGGTAGGACCTGTATCTAGAGAAAGCTCCTGGGTCCCACACAACCTTCTCCTAGGGAGCGAAACGACGTGTTGAAGCCCTGCCCACGTTTCTCCCCCAGAGCTGCTCACCCTCTGAGCCAACAAAAAGTCTGGTGGCCAGAAGTTGCTACCCGGGCATCCTCCTGCCCCAGCTGCTTCAGGCTCTGTTTCATGCAGAGAGCAACATCAACTACCTGCTGAAGATGGCCCTGGAGAAGATCGCCTTCCTGCCCTTCGGCTTCCTCATCGACCAGTGGCGCTGGGACGTCTTCAGCGGCCGCACCACCCCCAGGAGCTACAACCAGGACTGGTGGTACCTG